TACAATTTGAAGTCTTCGAATAACCTTGGTTTTTGATGATGAAGAAATAACCAATGATCAAAAACTAAACCTGATGATCCTACACATACTAAACAAATCCCATGCAAAAATACTCTTACCAAAATCTCAAGTCGGTCGACAAATCAACAACTGCCCATCCATAACCATAAATAACAGACCAATACTACGAACTACCCATGTCCTTATATCTGATACCCAAACTGAGCGTTAAAACGCTCCTTTCTCAATATCCATAGCATTTCTAAAAGGACTACAGACTGCAACAAGTTCCTTTCCTGACAACTTTCTGTTTTGAGGACAACACATGTGTAGTTGAAGACATGAACATGTCAGAAACTTGCTCTACAGTCATAACCTTACTAACCTTTAAAATGACCATGGGAGAATTTGAAGGATCCTTGAGAAACAAAACACGAATACTTCTCGAACATGAGTACCTCAATGGTAGCCTACATTCCTTTTCTTATGTAGCAGTAAACCTACACCAAAACCTTGTAGAAAGGTAGATATCATTTGTTAACTACATAAAAATCATGACATGTGTGGTTGTCAACACTTTCGTTACTCAAGAACCGGGCTTAAAATTTGATATACTAAAATATAATAAGAACACATGTTACAAATCCCAAATATGTTTTAACTTTTGGATATTTACATGTCCTACTTTTACAAGTCTAAAATTTGTATAAATATAAAATGTTTGAGGTCATCATATGAGTTCCTTTTATAAAAAAAAATCATGACCTATTAAGGATGACCAACTTAAAACTATTTTGGGAACAAAAATTACAAATTCTTGGAGATCTTTACTAAAAATAAGCTTTTCTAGTAAAAATAGTCGTAATTATCGTCGTCGCTATTTTGATGGGGTTAACCTAATAATACTATGTTATTTTTCCAACATTTATTACTACTAGACATATTCACTACTGACTATTTATAAAAAGTGCTACAAATAGTTTATACAAAATGGAATACAAAACAAATTGATGACAACATAGTTTGCGCATCATAAAACACATGTCATAAAATGTATGCTATCATATGTATAAAACGCGTGTCGTAAATAGCATGTTAGAAAAATTATACAACGTAGGTAATAAAAAGTATGTCATGAAACGTATATAACGCGTGTTGTAAACAAGCTGTCATGAAAATCATAAAAATCATGTCATAAAACAGTTGTCATGAATTTGCAATAGTGAAATCATTTCATTATACAATAAAAGGGAGTCGTAGTTCACGTAAATCCATTAATGCTCTAGTGAGACATTCACTTCACCGTACCAACCTAGCGTACATTTTAAGTCATGAATTATAACCAAAGTCTGCTGGAGGGAGAGTGGGATAGTTGCGTATAGATGACAACCCCACACCTGAGCTCTTCGCTACAGCTAGACGAGACAGTCTAGGGTGACAAATATCTTACCATTTCGACGCTTTAAGAACGTCGTACATCCCACTAGTCACATCAAGCATGGTTATAATAATTTTGTTAGGGATTAACAACAATATCTTGGTTTACAGGAAGCTTACACTTCATCGGTTTTATTAAAATATAAAACTGCATACTACCCTTCAATACACTATAGCATATATTTCCGGTCTTAGGGTTTAAGACTACAATTTTCATACAATAGAAAGTATTGGATTTTTTGGGAGCATACACTTTACAATTAAAAAGGAAAGAAACAATGGATATGCATACATACATTTTTGTTTAGACTTACAATTCATTTTTATTGAAATAATCAGATTTTCTGGAGTTATACAAACCATTTTTAAACAAACATGTTACAAAAACTTTTCATACAAATATGCTTATGAACTCACCAACATGCAATGTTGACGTTTTTCAAAATGACTTGTATTCTCAGGGAACCAGTTAGCAGGTACTTAAGTCCTTAAGAACTAGATTGTTGCGTTTTGGATTTTCTTACTATTATGTCACTTTTGTGTAACTTTGAACAAAGACAGTATGTAAACAATGTAAGTTTGTTATCTCAATATATGGCGTTTGGTTTGCTATGTTTCATTTGTATTCAATTGTTATGATACTACACAATGACGTCATCCGCCCCCGAACGTTTCCATCGTCCAAGTTCGGGGGTGTGACAGATTGGTATAAGATCATTGTTTATAGTAAAATAGTATATCTAGCCATACAAAGGTATACAACTATAAGCACAATGGGGCTAAAAACACTTTGACCACAAGTATACTTTAAAAATATAAGTATTTTATAAATAGTATTCATATATGTGTGCTTATTAAGAGTAGTGTTATAATAAGAAACAAATAAAAAATCTTTAAAAGAGTTGTACATCGCGACTAAACTTAGACAGTTATGTAATCATATCTTGGGTAAATATAGCATGATCAACTATATTTATTCGAGATATGACCAATATGTGTTTAGGAGTGGTCAAGGTGGAAAACAAATCTAAAACTTACCAATTCAATACCAAAATGAATCTAAGAACAAAATGTAAAGAAATAAAATATTATATGAGTATTTTGGCATTTTGAGAACCTTTCATATATTTTCTCATACTTATATTCTCATACAGACACTATGACAGGCTTCTATCTACCAGGAGATCCCTACTTCCCCAACCAGGGGAACAGTGGATGGATTGAGGAGGATCCCGAGGAGATCCTAGAGGAGGAGCTAGAGGAAGACTTCTAGGAGGAGATAAAGGAGGAGGAGGATAAGGATGATGATTCGCACACTGAGTCCAAATTCATCAACCTTCCTACATTGATAGGGTACCAACACAACGATGGGGCTATAATGGCCTTATGCCTCGTGTAATAATTCATATCAAAATAAATAAAATAAAAATAAAATCATAATATATTAATAGAATAATGATTAGTTCATAGTTAATGATGCAATTAGTGACAAATTATGAGGCTTAAATTTTAAAAAGAAAGGAAAACGTCACTTTGATTAGGCAATAAATTCGAGCTAGTGGAAGAGTTTCATCAGTTAAGCATATAGACATTATATATAGCATGTAAAATCGAGTGAAAACCCCACAAGAATTCTGGAAATAAACTGAGAATCGAAGGAGAAGTACGAGCTAGAAGTTCTTGGGGATTTTCGAAGTTTTTTTGATTCCTTGATTTTAGTTTGATATAGTTTTTTAATTAAGTATATGCATCTCCATTTCATGTTCTGGTTCCATCGGTTCACACCAATGGTTATCAAATAGGTGGAAATTTGAAATAATATAATTTTAGAAAAGAAAGCTTGAATATATCTTGCTTTGAGTCCTTTTTCTGAAAATTGTTTATGGTTATATGTTAGTGGGAAGTGGAGAAGATTAATAGTAATTTTATATGATTATTAAAAAAATTATTTTAGATATGTATGGACATGTAGCCACCTGATAATGGCAGAAAAATAAATATGCATAGAGTTAAGAAGATGATACCCGAGTTCTTTTGTTGGGTGGGTCAGAAAACGATTGCGTTCAAAATATCAAATCATATTTTATTATAACAAATAAATTGTGGTGGTGAATCCAACCTCACCATCTGTGTTGCAGCCTTTTATTTTTCTCCATTTGTTAGTTTCAATTTTAACCCCTATAGTTTCAATAAATTATGGATTTCACTTTGCAAAAAAATTCAAAAAGTATGGGCATCCTTCCTTTTGAAGGTAAAACCAAAATTACGTAAATAGTGTCAATATGTTAGTTCTTATTTTTTTTCTTTGTTACTAAAGTCATTGCTCTAAAAATTCTACATTTCAGCCCTCATGATTTTATTTTCTTAATTTAAAAAATAAAAAAAAGCATGTGGAATCATTATATTTACGTCTTGATTAATACTTCTTTTAAATACATATTTTGGTGATCAACGAAATCATTATTTTATTAATTATTTGGGAATATTACTTTTATTAATATTTTGGGAATATTAACGTATCTAGGCCGATATATATATATATATATATATATATATATATATATATATATATATATATATATATATATATATATATATATATATATATATATATAAAGTGATTAGATAACAATTGTTATTGGCCGAACGAGACACGCGTGTGATGGAACCGAAACGAATGTTGAGGATATTATCTAGGGATGTTGCCTTAGGAAAATTTATTGTTGGAATGTAGATTGCGTGTAGCGTGACAAGTTTTGGTTAAAACCTAACGCCAATAAGGTGAGTTTCGTGTAAATTTTGTGGTTGCTTGCATGAAAAGTTGATTCTAAATTATTTGCAATTATATGTTGTTATTGCTATGAATATTTGTGTGAAATTGTGTGAATTATTTCATATAAAAGGGTGAAAATGGTGGGTGACATATATATAGGAAACATGTGTATTTACACAGTCTTATTATTAGTCGTCGTACTGGGAGTTAGTACGCGGCGGAGAGCTTACGCTCTGTTTATCTAGCCGTAAGCATATTTGTTGTGCCTGACGGAGGGACTTATTCTTTAGAAATCACAGTAGTTCCCTAATGTGTCATCAATGGTGGAAAGAAATGAAAAGAATTATATTGATAAATTGTTGCATTATTTTTATTTTATTGACGTAAATATGCATGAAAACCACAAACTCACTAGGCCCTAGGCTTACCCATTAGAATCTTTAAATGCAAGCAACCCAGGAAATAACGTAGCAAGTGGCAGCGGGAATGGAAAGGATAAAGTTCAGACTTGAAGAAGGCGAAAAGTTTTGAGGAAGAGGTAGTGCACCACATGTTTACTTAAATTTCTATTTGCTTCCGCTATTATTATTAATAATTACTTTAGTATTTGAATCTTGAATTTCGAAACTTTTGGGACTATGTTAAGTTATATTGGTATTTGAAAATTTGGGGGATTACAAGTTGGTATCAAAGACATGTTTAAGCAGATTAGTCGTTGTTTAAACGCCTAAGCTTAAACGGGAGGATCGGTACATCGCCTAATCTGGAATTCATCTCGGTTGTAAGTACTATGGATCGTGGAAAGGTAGTTGTCGACAGTGGGGTGTCAGTTGAGGTTACTAGTGGGTTACTTCCACACGAGAAGTTGAAGGCCGAGTTAGAGCTCTCTGATTCGGAAGGCATTCTGGAACCAATGACTCCACTCAGCATCTCTGAACGAGATGAAGAAGACGAGGATGTGGAATCTGAGGTGGAACCTGGAGAAGACCCGGACGAGCAACCTGAAGAAGACCCAGACGAGGAACCTAAAGAAAACCCCGAGGAGGAACCCGAGGGAAATCACATGGAGTACCATGTAGAACAAAGATACGAAACATTTCATATGCCCTATGTAGAGTACACGCCAACTAGTCCTGGTACCTATTGGGAGCGACTTTGTAAAGATGAAATGCCACAGGCACAACTCGAGATTCACAGTCTGAAAAGAAAGATTGAAGAGTTAGATGAGCATAGGTCAAGGATCATACAGAGGAACCAAATATGTGTTGAGGCTGCTAAGAAAAGTAAGCGCAAGATATGAAGGTTAGAACCGGAGGTGTTGGAGCCAAGGAAACCCACTATCACTAAGTTGTGGGAAGGGTTTGTGGCTCGGGAAAAACAAGCCAAGGCCGCGACTTACGGATTCCTAGATAAGGTGGTTGGAAGAGACCCACCTCATGTAACATCATAAAATTTCCAACCAAAAATTTTCGTTTTTACAACCATCAAAACATGAGTAATAAGTTTAAATTCCAAAGTAACAATGTAGTCACAACCGATTACATAACAAAAGATAAAATAGTTTTCCCCGAGTGTGTGTACGGTCACGCTGGCGCCTTCCCACGGTCCTCACTCGTACCTGAAACACATAATGCAACAACTGTAAGCATAAAGCTTAGTGAGTTTCCAAAATACAACATACGCACATACGCCTTTCCAGGCCTTGACCTTCCGGTCCATGTGTCTCAGGGGACTTCCGTCCCGACTGGGTAAACCTTCCGGTCCTACCCATATCCACCCTTACAGTCCATATGACCACGCCTTCCGGCCCATATCAAACATATCATACATGACACATATAGCAAATAACTTAACACACATAAGGCATATATTTCATATCATATTCGACCTTCCGGTCACATAGTCAAAACCCTTCCGGGTACAGTATAGTGAGAAGACTCACCTCGTATGCCTCGCTAAGTCGCTAATCGTGAATCCTAGAATCACTCGGGCTCGAACCCTCGAGCTGCAATCCTCCTATAATATTACAAATCTATAATTATTACTTGTACCACTAAGGTGGACCATTCATATCAAGTCAACACAGGTTGACTTGGTCAGCAGTCTTTAGACAATTTGGACCAGACTCGAAGAGTCCACAGTAGCGGACTCGGCGAGTCTACGCGTTTTTACCAACTCTCAAGAATTTTCCCTTTGACTCGTCGAGTACTCACCCGACTCGACGAGCTCCACCTGGGCCTGAATCACAGGGCCACCACGACTCAACTCGCCGAGTCGAAGGTCGACTCGGCGAGTCCCAACCTGACTCGGTCCACCTGTAAAAACCTTTCCAACTCTCTGCGACTCACTGAGTCGCCCACAACTCAGTCCGGACTACACACAGGATGGTCTCAAGGACAATCTTCAAGCGACTCGTCGAGTCTGTTCTTCAGACTCGGCTAGTCCATGCCATGCACCAGCTAAAACTGGCTTTTGCGGTCAGATCCGTTCCATACATACATAGATCTGGCCTTCCCAAGCTTATTTGTCACGTAAAGTCTCAGTCTTGGTTGCCATGCAATGCATACAAGGCTTATTTTGAAGAAACAACCACTTATTTGGCAAGTTTAGCTTCTAACTCAAAAGAATGGACATAAAGCTTGTCATGAGGGGTCTCCTGGACCTGCTTAAGTCCAGATCTAGGTTCCATGTCTCCATGGGACCTCTCATACTTCTTATTCAAGCCAAGAAATGCAAGAAGAAACCCTAGGTTTGGCCCATCAACACAAAACATGAAGATTGGCTCAGAAAATTACCTCAAGAAGACCCCCTTGATGAAATAGCAACAGATCTAAGCTCCCCAACACTTCAAGCTTGCTCCTCTCCCTCCTTTCCTTGCAATATCACACAAAATGATGAACACAAGGCCTTCAAACACACTCACAAGGGCTTACAGACGTATGGAGGCTCTTAGGGTTCAAGGTGGCCGCATATGAGGGTCGTAAGGTCCTTTAAATAGGGCTTAGGACCGGGAAATCAGGGTTTCATCAAACAGCGCGGACTCGCCGAGTCCATCCCTTGGACTCACCGAGTCCGGATGCGAGCCCCCGCTCAAAAACGTGACCCGACTCGGCGAGTCGACTACCAACTCGCCGAGTCCCCTCACAGAATGATAAAAATATATGAAATGGAGATACCTGGGGATTCGGGCTATTACACCTCAGGCCGAGGTGTTGGTCATTCAAAGTGGTCCCGGAGATCGAAAAGCTAAAAATATAAGGAAGTACTTGAAGGAGGGAAAGCGAATATTGAAATATGATGATATCGTTTTTAAAAAGTAGAAAGTAGGAGTGCAATGATTTGTTTTTTTTATATTTCTCTTGGATGTTGGCTTAAGTGACTTGATGTGAACAAGACTATTGTGTTATAAACATAAATATGTAGCTAATATGTCTTCACAAAGATCTAGGAGGTTCACTAAGGTCACTCCGGAGGAAGAACGCATCCCAATTGGAGCTTATGTTAGAGCACCAGGAGATGTACCAGAAACCCCACTGATCCCAAATGCTAGTCGTGGATGGGGCCAAGGAAGAGGTAGGGGTAGAGGAAGAGGCCGAGGAGTTTTTACAGCACGGATACCTGTGCAATTGGCCCATGGCAGCTCCGAATCCCACCACGGTCGAGGTCAAGCTCGCGGAAGGGGTTGTGCGACAAACACGATCACCAAAGAAGAGTTGGCTGACGAGATTGCTCTGGCAATTCGAGCCACTTTGCCCGATGTAGTTGCTCATGCACGAGAAGCTATAATGGATGAGTATGAAGGTAACTTGGGTGGAGGTGAAGAAGACTATGAGTATCGTACACCAATTATGAATCAGGAGCCAAGTATTGCACAACCCTTAAGGCATCATGACAACCACAATCGGCAAGGTTGTAGTTACAAGACGTTCATGAATTGTAACCCACCCGTTTTTAATGGAGAAATTGATCCGGTTTTGTCATCAATGTGGATCATGGAGATTAGGGGAACATTTGATACTAGCATGTGTGCGGATGAGGACAAGGTGATTTATGTTGCGACAATGTTAAAGGGGGAGGCAATACATTGGTGAGGCATGGTGAAGGAAGTTAGGGGCGTGAGGCAGCTAAGAAAATGTCATGGGATGCGTTTCTAATAATCTTTAAAGAAAAGTTTTGCCCACGAACAACGGTTAAGCAGTTAGAAGAAGAATTCTTGAGGTTGGAGCAGAGGAATATGAATGTGAGGGAGTACACCACAAAGTTCATAGAGAAGGCTAGGTTTGCTAAATTTTACGTATCTTCAGAAGAAAAAAGGGTGGAACGCTATATTTAGGGATTGAGAACAGCTATCCGTGAATTTGTGTAAATTCAGAAACCGGGTACTTTCCAGTCTGCTATTGATGCCGCATAAGGTCGCGAATGTGAGAAGAATCGTCAAGGTGAAGACAGGGCTTTGGGG